ATTCTTGATAGATTCGAGTGATTCAAATGCACAGAACAGTTCTCCCAAAGTCACTAAGTCTTTCTTACGTAGAATATTTGGCAAATATTTGACTAAAAACTAATGTTCTAAGCATTTCTTGTTTCTACCTTATCTTGAAATTCGGTCTTTAAGATTCTCTGTAAAAATATTTTTCCAATCAGTGCAGTCACTTTAGTGAGATATATTATTAGTGTTTTTTTTTTAATTTTATGACGATTTCGATTACATCAACGTGCACAAAATACACTATTGGCATTCACCTAGTAGGTCGCGTGCATGTGCACCTTGTATAGAAAAGTACTATGCATTCAATTATGCACGGAGACGACAATAGAGTTCAAGGACAAACTAAGTGAAATATTGTTTTTACATTTATAAAATTAGTTTTCTATTTTACCAAATCAAACCCAACCCTTGACTAACCTTAAGAGAAAAACTAGATAAGTATCCGAATGTTTAGAAATTAAAACGTCCACTCATCGAAAGGATCTTAAAGACCCACCAAAACACGAAAGCCAGAATTTTTCAGAAAATAGATTCCAATAAATACTTTAATTCTCATAGAACGAGAAACTTCGGTGAGAAATGAACTACCCAAAATTCATGTTCATGTCATAGGACAACCACAAAACAGACAAAACTGAGGGCGCCAAAGAAAACCAATTTCCTTGATCCACATAATGATATGCCAATACCCCAAACAACATCATCGGCTTGAGGTTCACCATTCCATGGGTCAGGAAAACATGGACGCACCATATTTCATCCACAATAAACCCCACAATCTTGTCCCTATTCCAGCTTTTTCCTCCGAGCTGCCTCCTCTTTTTGTCTTTGAATCAACTCGAGCTCACGATATCGTTCTTCTTCCTTCCGCTGCAGCTCCAGAGCTTCTCTTCGTTGAGCTTCCTCTACCCTTCTCCTATTCTCTTCCAACATTTTGTCGAGCTCTTCTCTCTCTTTCCGTGCTTGTTCCTGAAAATGTTGCATGATTATAGGTAAATTTGACAGAAAAGAAGAAAAATATTTCACAAAAGAGCCTGCATTTATCATTTGTATTCAGATTCTAATCGAGACGTAAACCACGAGCTCATCCACAGCTCTGGAGAAACACGGATTGCCCAAGAACTGGACTTTTCCTTCAGAAGTATTGCTGCTTGCACAATAGTGCATCATGTTTTAAAGTGATATAATTAACTACTCAAGATTCAACCAAACCTAACTAAAGCTATTCAACAGGCCTTTTCTTTCCAATAAAGTAGTGTTCATAATCACTTTCTAAGATTCAGTGATTCCCATTCCACTCCACCACACAAAGGCGGCATCAGTATATGTGCCAACATACCGCTCACAATTCCTATCACAGCAGGCCTAGTTCCACTAAGAATGGCCACAAATAGTTTAACGGCTCAAGTCCACCGCTAGTAGATATGGTTCTCTTTGAGTTTTCCTTTTCGGGTTTCCTCTCAAGGTTTTTAAAATGCGTCTGTTAGGGAGAGCTTCCACACCCTTATAGAGAATGTTTCGTTCCCCTCTCCCAACCAAGGTGGGATCTCACACTTTCATATCAAATAATTTTAAGTAAAGCGTCTTTAAAGCAGCATAAGCATAGAGTACTGAAGAACTCAAAGATTCAGAGATAAATCCTCAAAAGAACTTGTATTTTAAAATTTTCAATGAATCCAATATTCCTCGAAAATTTCAAATTGGATTTTGTGTGATCGTAAAATCAATAAATCCAATTTTTCAAACTTTTTTATGCAAAGCAAACGCTCTACTGATATATGTGATTACTATCAACGTGCATTTGGAGTTGTTATAACCACAAAACGTAACAAAAAGAATAGGAAACAAAATGTTTACTTCTTTCTGTCTTGCAGCAGTAAGAGCGGCTTCTTTCTCTTTCTCAAGCTGCACATCAACATCATCAAACAACTTCTTGCGACCTTCCTCTATTCGCCTCTGTATTTCTAATTTAGTTTCTTCGGAGTTTAGCCTTTCTTCAACATTCTTCTGAATTAGTTCTTCCATCCTCCTAGCTGCATCTTCTTCTAGCTTCTTCAACTCTGCTTCACGCCTGAATGAAGGAGCGGTAAATATCAATCATAGAGCCAACATCTCATTCAGGAGGTCAGAAACAACAAAATAAAAAAACTAAATTCGACTTTTATCACTTCTACCTATCTTCAACCATATCCCATTCGTATGCAAGTGTTTTGTACTTGTTCAATGTAAAAAATTGCACTAAACTGTTATAGCTCAAAAAGTTGGGAATGTTTAACACTGCACCAGCCAAAGCTTACAGACAAGATATTGAAATAAAGAATCAAATGCACAAGGAATTATCGTGCTTCGGAAGTGTGCTTACATCCTCTTTGATCCAGCAGCTTGGAGGTTTTATTAGTGAAGGAGGGATACAAGATGATCAGCTAAAGCATAACCAAGAACTAAAAGAAAGAAAGCGTCAGAATTCATCTCTAACTGCGCCAACTTCCTGTTTGTATACAGCTCTTAGCCATTCGAGAGCAAACTGCCAAACGTTAACTCACACTTAGGATAATTTAATTGATGATCTTCTGGCCATTTGTTGAAAACGGTTAGAAATCATGACCCTCCACAATGGTATGATATTGTCTACTTTGAGCATAAGCTCTCATGGGTTTACTTTTGGTTTCCCCAAAAAGTCTATACCCATGGAGATAGTATTCCTTACTTATAAACCCATGAGTTTTATCTTAATTAGCCAACGTGGAACTACTTCTCTCAATAATCCTCAACAATCCTCCCCTTGAACAAAGTACACCATAGAGTTTCCTATAAGGCATCCTTCTCTGGAGGTCTCGAACAGTCTCTCCTTAATCGAGGCTCGACTCCTTTTCTAGAGCCCTTGAACAAAGTACACCCTTTGTTCGACACTTCGAGGCTCACAACTTCTTTGTTTGACACTTGAGAATTCTATTGAGCGAGCTAAGTTAAGAGCGTGGCTCTTACACCATGTTAGGAATCACACCCCTCCCTAATGGTATGATATTGTCCACTTTGAGCATAAGCTCTCATGGCTTTGTTTTTGGTTTCCCAAAAAGCCTCATACCAATGGAGATGGTATTCTTTACTTATAAACCATGTTCAGTCACATTCAGGATATTTTTCATATTTCAATATGTAAACGCCTATGGTGGAAATCTAAGGAGCAAGAACAATTTAGATTTACGACAGCGTAGCTGGAATGTGAACTGAATTGTCGGCAGAAACATCCAAGTTAAGAAAAATATAAAGGGGAAGTACCTTTTCTTCTCTTCTTCCTCTTTCTTAAGCTTTTCTATGGAATGTTTCCGATCAGTGGATGCACGACTAGGACTGGAACTAGACGATTTGGGGGAAGGGGATAACGAGGAAGACCTACTTCTACGTCGGCGGTGTCTCCGTGTGGGAGAGCGACTTCTTCGACGACGGTATGACGGCGAACGACTTCGACGGCGACGGAGGGAACTTGAACGGCTCCTTCTCCTGTAAGAAGATGGAGAAATAGATTATTCAAAAGCGTAGAGAATCAGGAAAGTGGAAGGAGAAGGATTTGCGGCGGCGGCAACAGGATGAACAGATGGGAGAAAGAAGAAAACCTGGAACGGGTGTTGGAATGATAGGGGGAAGGACTCGTGTCCCTTCTGCTTCTCCGACTACGGCGATAGGAATTGGAGCGAGGAGTGTACGACGGAGACCTTGAAACACTTCTCCCCATAAGTTTCAATTGAATTCTGCAATGGTCAAGGGATCAATGGAGGAGAAGAACGAACCCTAGGGAGGGGTTCGCTCAAATCAAAATCTTAAAACGTTTTTTTTGTTCTTATCACTTCAAGGGAAGGAAAAGGAAAAGGAAGAGAAGAAAGAGTTTTGATCAGAAAAGTAGCACATACTGAACGGTTGTTACAATTTTGCTAAGTAATAGAGTATGACCCTTATATAGGGGTACTTACTTTAGGGTAGTGACAATTTATTAAGAACACGTTCTCTACTAAGTAATAAAATAATGTACAGGGCTTTACGGTCCGTCTGTGACCCTTGGAGATCGGAGGTGTCTTTGGAGTGATCTCGTCGCTCCTATGTAGCACATACTTGAGAGTAGTGATGTACAGGGTTTTACGGTCAATCTGTGACCCTTGGATGTCGAAGGCATCCTTGGAGTGTTCTCGTAGTTTCTATGTAGTACATATTTGAGGGTAATGACAATTTATTAAGAGCACGATCTCCACTAAGTAATAGAATGATGTACAGGGTTCTACGGTCAGCCTGTGACCCCTAGATATTGAAGGCGTCTTTGGAGTGATCTTGTTAGGTAACATGATGTACAAGGTTCTACGATCAATCTGTGACCCTTGGATATTGAAAATGCCTTTGGAGTGATCTCGTAGTTCCTATGTAGCACATACTTGAGAGTAGCAACAATTTATTAAGATCATAGACTCCACTGAGTAATAACATGATGTATAGGGTTCTACAATAAATCTGTGACACATGTATATCAAAGGCGTCCTTGGAGTGATCTCGTAGGTAACGTGATGTACAGGGTTCTACAATTAGTCTGTGACCCTTGGAGTGATAGTGTAGTTCCTATGTAGCACATACTTGAGAGTGGTGACAATTTATTAAGAACATAGACTTCACTAAGTAATAATGTGATGTCTAGAGTTCTTCGGTCAATCTGTAACCCCTAGATATCGGAGGTGTTTTTGGAGTGATCTCATAGTTCCTATGGAATGGAGACGCTGGGTCGAGTCCATTTATTTTCCTTTTGCCGCATTTTGCTCAAAGTTAAATAGTTCTAACCTTCCTTCTTGCAATGGTTGAACTTCAAAAAAATTATTGCTTCGTAGCGAAGATTCAAACTTACAACCTCAATAAATAAAAATACGTGTACACCTTGAGTGACGCTTCTCTTCGTATCATTATCGGAATGTAACTTTAAGTTAAGACACCCCATTCATACAAAAACAAAGTATTATATGTATAGAATGCTACTTTTAGCAGTCTCACAAGCTCACCATATCTATATATTGTTTCCTAAAGTTCTTGCTATCACAATTCACAACGACATGTCCATCTGCTCAATGTTTTTTCAGACACACATGCAGCCAACAGTGAGGGCCAGACAACACAGAGCTACTCTGTCCTAGGTTTCCAGCTCCCCGACCAATAACCTTATATACAGCAGAACAACAACACTGATCACCTTTTCAAAAATGGAGAATGTCAATGGCTTCTTTCCCTTTCTATCTGGCTTTAGATAACTGTATGGCTTCTTGATCATGACTTGACTCTTCTCCCCAAACAAATTGGTGACAAAGAAGGGACACCTCCTGATCTCTTACCTCTTCAAGCTGCATCCACTCTGCCCACCTATCTGCTAGCCCTTCTCCATGTAGTAGGTTCACAACTTCCGCCATTGTCGGCCGGTCCTCCGGTGAACCTTGAGTGCAAAGCAACGCCACCTGAACTATGTTTTCGACTTCTTTCTCGTTGTAGCTCGTTAAATTCTTGTCCACAACATCTTCAAGCCTGTTCTCCCTCTGCAACTTCTTTATCTGTTCATGTTTCACATTCTATTTCAGCATATCACAAATGAACTTCTCAAGTACATGATCAAGATGAAGAACGTCTTACATGATCGAGTAGAAGAACGTCTTCCTCCTCTTCGAGACGGGAGAAATCTATTGCGCGCTGACCGGTGACAAGCTCAAGAAGGGTGATACCATATCCGAAAACATCAGTCTTTTCAGATGACTTACCAGTGGACAAGTATTCCGGGGCGATATGACCCATTGTACCGCGCACTTGAGTGGTAATATGAGTTACTTTAGTATCGATTAGCTTGGCTAATCCGAAATCTCCAAGAACAGCTTCGAAGTCGTCATCTAATAATATGTTTGCAGCCTTCAGATCACGATGGATGATCTTAGGATTACAGTGTTCATGCAAATACTCCAAACCATGAGCTGCACCAAAGGCTATCTGTTTTCTCGTGGCCCAGTCCAAGCTTCTTTCTCCTGGTTTTAAATCTGCAGCATTTTTAAATGGTCGTGTTAATCTGTAAAGCTTGGTTAGCCTATGAAATCAATAGGGGTCAGTGTTCAGTCAGCATTCATTGTTCTCCTTATTATAGAAACTATATGGCTTCTTTTTTATTGATGGAACTTCTTAGTCTCGTTGCTGTTTTTTGGACTCGAACACTAGGGACTAACCATTTCAACTATTTTATGTCAGGTTGTGGTCTGCAAAAGCAGCCAAGGCTAACTGTGAGATCTTACATCGGTCGGGGAGGAGAGCGAAACATTCTTTGTAAGGGTGTGGAAACCTCTCCCTAGCAGACGCGTTTTAACAATCTTGAGAGGAAGCCTGAAAAGAGAAACACAAAGAGGACAATATCGGCTAGCGGTGGGCTTGGACTTTTACAAATGGTATCAGAGCCAAACACCGGAAGATGTGTCTGCGAGGAAGCTGGTCCGAAGTGGGGTGGACATGAGGCGGTGTGCCAGCAAAGATGTTGGTCCCCAAAGGGAGATGGATTGTGAGATCCCACATCGGTTGGGGAGGAGAACGAAGCATTCTATATAAAGATGCGGAAACTTCTCCCTAGTAGACGCGTTTTAAAAACCTTGAGGGAAAGTTCGAAAGGGAAAGCCTATAGAGGACAATATCTGCTAGCGGTGGTTTACGAATCTTCGATAGAGGGAGTAAAGTTATTACCTCTCAAGCGATGAGCCACGCTAAGATTCTGCATGAATGGATAAACAAGGATTCTCTCAGACGTAGTCGTGCAGAAACCAATCAACCGGAGGAGATTTCTATGCACTGCAACGCTTATTAGTTGAACTTCTCTTAGGAATGCAGCCTCCCCACCAGGACTATTGTAGTCAGTTAACCGTTTCACAGCCACCTTGGAGGCATCTGAGAGGATGCCTTTATATACTTTTCCAAACCCTCCTTGGCCAATGATGTTCGTCTCGTTAAAGTTATCGGTCGCAAGCTGGATTTCCCGCAATGAAAATCTTCTGATTTGCCCAAAGCAAAGTTTACATTCATCTTCACCTAATATAAAAGAGAGTTGTTAGCTTCACAACAATGCAACCCAAGTATACCTCCCTATCATTCTCGGTCGGGATGCAAACATCTGTTTTTCAAGTCGTTGGTATAATATCTTAATTAGTTGAGCTATGTTGAGGTTGACCCGAGAGTACAATTTTATTGACCCAAAACACGCATAAGGATTGAAAATTTAAAGCGAAACTTTACCAGCAACATCAACAAACATGGAATCCTTAAGCCTATGCATGTAGAAGCATCTATAAGCAAAGAAGGCACCAATTGACAGAAGAATGAATCCCCCACAGCTTGCAGTACTTGCCACTACCCCAACCTTAGAATTCTTTACAGAAGCTGTCAAGATACAAAGATGAGGCTATCACTTAATAATTCACACGATACCAATATCGGTGCAAGAACACGATATATATAATACCAACCTCGATGGGGAGAGGTCGAAACACAAGGTTTATCCAACCTAAAGCCACAGTTTAAACCAGTTCTTGAAAAGCTGAAAGAATGTTTCCAAATAAGTATATGACCAATTCCAACATATTGGATTGAGTATATATGGGTTGTAAGTTCTTCAACAGGATTTGTAAAAAAGATGTTGAATGAGTATACTTACTTGAACATTGGAATTGAAAAGAATAGAGCTGGAACTTCTCCTGTTAAGTTGTTATCTGAGAGATCCCTGCCACCAGCATTTGGGGGAAGAGTGCAAGAAAGTAAAAGGTTAGGCAAGTGACTAAGAAATTGTAATAATAGTGGAAAAAGGTTGACTGTTGAATATTCATGGATTGATTTGGGATGGCTAATGACATTGTAGCCGTCTAAGTCCACCGCTAGCAGATATTGTCATTTTGGATTTTCCCTTCTGGGCTTCTCCTAAAAGTTTTTAAAATGCGTCTTCTTGGGAGAGGTCTTCACACCCTTATAATCACAATCCACCCCTTAGGGGCCCAACATTTTTGCTGGTACACTACCCGGTGTCCTTTTGGTTTTTCTCTTTTGGACTTCTCCTAAAGGTTTCTAAAATACGTCTTCTAGGGAGAGGTCTCCACACCCTTATAATCACAATCCATCCCCCTTAAGGACCAGCGTCCTCCTAGCACACTACCCAGCGTCTGACTTTGATACCATTTGTAACTATAAGGTGTGGAAACCTCTCCCTAGAAGATGCGTTTTAAAAACCTTGAGGGGAAGCCCGAAAGGGAAAGCCTAAAATGGACAATATCTGCTAGCACTCCCAAATCTTTGATAATATCACCCTCAACGTACTAAACCCAAAAAACAGGGACAATATGCATAATATGTGAACAACCAAGGGGAAAAATAGCCTTACAGATGCTTTAGACCAGCAAGTTGACCCCAAGCTGCAGGGATGGGGCCATTGAAGTTATTATTAGCAAGATTCAAATTCTGTAGGTGGGTCATGTTAGCTAGATAATCTGGTAGAACACCAGCTATATTATTGTTCTGCAAATCCCTGCATGAAGTAGTGCAAAACATCAGATTAACAAACCCAAGTTTGTAGACTAACAGCACTACGTGGACGGATAAGGGTAACGACGATGACTCCTTACGCAACACAACGTTTAACTCGATTCATCAAAACAGTAAAAGAAGTTTATAGATAAGCTCATATTTCTATAGTTTTGCAACACAATTTGAAATTAACCAGCAACATAATTTCAAGTTCATAATTTAAGATAGGGCCAGTAAGATTGTTAGCAGTAACAGAATCGGACGAACGAACGGATTTCTTATTGATATCTCCAACCATATTCACCAACAATGAAGTTCAGAGAAATAGTACCATTCCAAGAAGAAAAAGTACGTTAAGTTTCTCTACCAAATGTTCCTTTTTTTTTTTTTTTTTCACAGAACTTTCCCATTAGAATATTGAAGTGGAAGAATAGATTCCAAAATAAGATGGAATAAGCAAAAGAGAGAACAAATGAAAGATTAGATTCTATGCTAGAAAACTCAATCAGCTTCTTGACAGAAGTTTTAATCTAGCTAAACAAAAAGAATAAGAATTCTATTCTAGATTCTAGTACATAACAGCCCAAGCCCACCACCGTTAGCAGATATTGTCCTCTTTGGATTTTTCCTTTCGGGCTTCTTCTCAAGGTTTTTAAAACACGTCTAGAGAGGTTTCTACACTCTTATAAAGAATGTTTCGTTCTCCTCCCTAACTGATGTGGGATCTCACAATCCACCCCCCTTTGGGGTCCAGTGTACTCACTGGCACTCGTTCCCTTCTCCAATCGAAGTGGGACCCCCCAAATCCACCCCCTTTAGGTCCCAACGTCCTTGCTAGCACACCGCCTCGTGTCCACCCCCTTTGGGGCTCAGCCTTCTCCTTAGCACATCGTCCGATGTCTAGCTCTGATACTATTACCCCATTCGCAGATATTGTCCTCTTTGGGTTTTCACTTTCGGACTTCCCCTCAATGTTTTTAAAACGCGTCCGCTAGAGAGAGGTTTCCACACCCTTATAAAGAATGTTTTGTTCTCCTCCCCAACTAACTTGGATCTCACAATAACATTTTCTACCACAAGAATCTAAAAAGAGAAGTAAGGCAGCTTACAGACTGGCCAAATATTTGAGTTTTGTAATTGAAGGAGAGAGTGATCCTGAAAATCCTGCTGAACCCAAGCTCCTGCAATTAGTACAATTCAAAAACTAAATCCATGCTGCAAAACTGAAGTCAATAAATCAAAGGCAAACTCAACAGAAAAAGGAGTAAATGCTCTCAAAAGCAAAAGGACTTACAATGATATAACGTTTCCATTTCGGCAGGTAATATGCGACCAACTAAAGCAAGGGCTTACTAAGTGATAGTTCCAATCAGTTATTTGATGATTGGAATCATTAAGTGCCCCTAACAAATCAACCAAAGCTTCTCCTACACATTTAGAAAGTAATATCAGAGCAAGTGGTATAAACCAAAAGCATAAGAAACTTTGCAAGAACTGTAACCGCTCAAGCCCACCGCTAACAGATGTTGTCCGTTTTGGCCCGTTATTTATCGATGTTATCCTCACGGTTTTTAAATGCGTCTGTTAGGGAGAGGTTTCCACACCGTTATAAGAAATGCTACGTTCTCCTCTCCCACCAATGTAGGATCTCACAATCCAGGCCCAGCGTCTTCGTTAGCACAACGCCCGTGTCTAGCTTTGATATCATTTGTAACAGCCCAAGCTCACCGCTAGCAAATATTGTCCGTTTTGGCCCGTTACGTATCACTGTCAGCCTCACGGTTTTAAAACGCGTAAGCTAGGGAGAGGTTTCCACACTCTTATAAGAAATGTTTCGTTCCCCTCTCCAATTGATGTGAGATCTCACAATCCACCCCCTTCAGGACCCAGTGTCCTTGCTGGCACATCATCTGGTGTCTAGCTCTGATACCATTTGTAACAACTCAAGCTCACCGCTAGCAAATATTGTTCGTTTTTGCTCATTACGTATCGCTATCAGCCTCACAATTTTATAACACGCCTGTTAGGGAGAGGTTTTCACACCCCTATAAGGAATGCTTCGTTTCCCTCTCCAACCGATCTTTGATCTCACAAGATCAGTTCTTTTCCACCGAACATAATCTTGTGATATTAATATTACTAATGTTTTCCAAACGAAGAGCAAGATCCATCTGGCTAACTCAAGTTTGAGTATACCTTCCACATCAGGATCCGTGGATGCATAATTCAACCTCAACAATGAGAACAGCAACAGCCCCTGAATGATGAGTCTTAAGGGATTCCTTCTACAGAACATTGAAGACATGGGAGTATCTCCTTCTTCACACAATAATTGACAAAACAAACACGTCAACAGTGTAATGAACATTAAAATTAACAGAATAGATGAGTATTGGGTTCATACATCCAAGGAAAAGATTAGGAAGTAAACATAGTAATCATTCATCATAAAAATGTCTCTCTGGTTATCAAATGATTAAACAATCGAGTCCGATACTTAGGGGATGGATTGGTGTGGTTTCTCTACGCCTACGACACCAGAATATCGAACCATGAACGAGGAAATCTTCTCAATACAAAGGAGATATCACAGTTCAAATTATCATATGGATACAAACGTATAAGCAAAAGATCATCAAGTAAAAGTTATGATCAAACAGCCCACAAAGTTTCTTGTTGGTTTTTTGTGTTCCCTCCATTGTGAAAGGAATAACATGAAGAACAGAAAAATGGAGAGGTTGAAGAAGGTTTACTCACTAGTATCAGCCATGGCTTCAGAGGCTGCAAAAGCTGCAAGCAAAGAAGAATGGATCATGCTAGAGAAAGAGAAGCAGCAGACATTGTTAAATAAACTAATCAATCATGGGGGAATTCAATGAAATCAGGAAAAGAAAACTGTACAAGGGCCCCACAAAGCATTCAAAATGAAAATGCAAGATGAAAATGAGGCTGAGCTGCTGCTGCCGCTGCTGCTGCTTGCTTGTTATGCCAGTTGATGGTGGAATCCGAATGCGAATGAGCATTAGAATCTCTGTTCCCATCGCACCTATGGGCCTCTGCTTTTAATATCATTGATCGATCTGTATCATTCAGAAATGAATACACAATTAGCACCACATCCACCTCCACCTTTGCTTTACTTTTCCAAAACCCCCTTTGTTAAACGAAAGAGAAAAAGTTGAAATGCGCTTTAAAAGAGTCAAAGAAGCTTCCACTCCTCCACTGGACATTAATGCACTATCCATATTCCCTCTTTGGATGACAACAAATCTTAGATTTTTCTGAAAAGAAGGCTAATGAAAAGGACCATTGTTGGGAAAAGGATGCCACCATGATAACGATAACCCTTTCTCCTTCCCTACTTCAAAGCTACTTTACATGGACAGCTTCTTTTCCACTCGCTCTCCAAAGAACCCTAATCCCAATGGTCTTTGAAAGTAAAGATGTTAAACAAAAATCAATTCGTCTAATGGGGATAATGGATGCTACACCAAATATTTTAGGATTTAAAATAATGGGTATTTGTAATCATTGAAAAATTAATGGGGGAAATGCAGAAAATCGATAATGGCCAAATGTAACAGTGAATTTTGTTTACAAATTGGTTGAGAACAAAACAATTTTGTAACTTGGAAACTTTCATGGAGCATATGCGTTTTAAAAACTTTGAAGAAGTCAAAATGGGAAAGCCCAAACAAGAGTGGGCTTAGGGCATTATAAATGGTATTAGAGTCAAACATTGGACGATGTGCCAGCGTAGAGGCTAAGCTCCGAAAGAGGGTTGAGACGCAGCAAGATGCTAGGCTTTGGACGGGGTGAATTGGAGGGTCCCATATCAATTGGAGAATGGAATGAGTGTCAGCGTGGACGCTGGGCCCTGAAGGGGGTGGATTGTGAGATCCCACGTTGGTTAGGGAAGAGAACGAAACATTCTTTATAAGTGTGTGGAAACCTCCTCCAACCTTGAGGGGAAGCTCAAAAGGAAAAACCCTTGACATGAGACAGTATGTCAGCAAGGATGCTGGGCCCTGAACGAGGGTGGATCAGAGTCTCACGTCAATTGGAGAAGAGAACAAGTGCAAGCGAGAACCCTCAACCTCGAAGGGGGTGGATTGTGAGATCTCATATAAGTTGAGGAGTAAAACGAAACATTTTTTTAAAAGGGTGTGGAAACCTCCCACCTTGAGAGGAAACTCAAAAGGAAAATTCTAAAGAGGATAATATCTATTCATGGTGAGCTTAGGCTATTAAAGAGGACAATATTTGCTAGCGATAGGCTTGAACCGTTACCGTTCGATTTCTTACATATAGTTAGAACAGAGAAAAGGGAAAGGCCCTGGTTCGGATGCCACTATTTCTTTAATACTCTTCAAACTGATCAAGAAAAAAGAAATTTTGAATCCATAGCTAATGTTTACACACTAATGGTCAAGGTTTTAGATATGGTGTCAAACATATGTTCCTAAGTCTATGGAAATATCAAAAAAATTAATTTACAAGCAAACACTTCACCATTCTTAAATGGGTTTAAATATTTTTCTTATTAATATATTTGGTTGATATTTTTGTTATATCCCCTTAATTTTTATAAATATAATGCATATATAGATGCTTTGGACCGTACTCCTCCATAATTAAACTAAAAAATTAACAATATATATATATATATATATATATATATATATTCATAGCATTTTTTTCACCTAGGACAATGGCTCCAAAGAGGAATGAATTGTGAGCTCCTACATCATCAGTTGCCAACGAGAACGCTGGGCTTCGAAGGGAGTGAATTATGATATCCCACGTCGGTTGGAGAGGGAACGAAACATTCTTTATAAGGGTGTGAAAACCTCTTCCTAGCAAACACATTTTAAAATCTCAAGGGAAAGCTCGAAAAGAAAAACCCAAATAGGACAATATCTGCTAGTGGTAAACTCGAGTTCTTATAATTTATTTAGTTTTTTTCAGTAGAAAAAGACAAAGATTTCCAACATCGGTTGGAGAGAGAACGAAACATTCTTTATAAGGGTGTGAAAACCTCTTCCTAGCAAACACATTTTAAAATCTCAAGGGAAAGCTCGAAAAGAAAAACCCAAATAGAACAATATCTGCTAGTGGTAAACTCGAGTTCTTATAATTTATTTAGTTTTTTTCAGTAGAAAAAGACAAAGATTTCCAACATCGGTTGGAGAGAGAACGAAACATTATTTATAAGGGTGTGAAAACCTCTTCCTAGCAAACACATTTTAAAATCTCAAGGGAAAGCTCGAAAAGAAAAACCCAAATAGGACAATAGTGATAAACTCGAGTTCTTATAATTTATTTAGTTTTTTTCAGTAGAAAAAGACAAAGATTTCCAACAATGGCAAGAATGATCCTTTCTTGTCATTCAAACTAATATGGTTTATCCAATAGCATTCTTAAAAGCTTCTCGTAGCATCGTAGTTTTTTCTGTTGAGAATTATTGAGAGAAGTAGTTTCACAAGTTAATTAAGAGAAAGATCGTGGATTTATAAGTATATGGAATATCTATCTCCATTGGTATGAAACATTTTGAAAAAACCAAAAGTGAAGTCACGAGAGTTTATGCTCAAAGTGGACAATATCATACCATTGTGAAGGTCCGTGATTTCTAATATGACATCAAGAAGTGAGTCGCGAAGATGTAGTCAAAGGTAACTCTAGTGTCAAACTAAAGGTGTGCTTTGTTCGAGGGCTCTAGAGAAAGAGTTGAGCCTCGATTAAGGGGAGACTACGAGAGTTCTAGAGGAGGCCTCAACGGAGGCTCTATAGTGTACTTTGTTCGAGGGAAGGATTATTGAGAGGAGTAGTCATACACGGGCTAGTTAAGAGGAATGTCACGGGTTTATAAGTATGATAGGAGAGATTATGATTAAAGTGGACAATATCATACCATTCCTAACACTTTTGACCCTTTCAAATGATAGCTCTCATCCCCGCTTTATTATCGATCATAGGGGCACATCAATATTTACGGGGACGAATTTATAGTAGGTGGTTTTCATTGATCACGTCCATTAGAACTTCAAACCCATTTTTAGTTTTATGATAAGATTCAAAACCGTTCCCCTTGCAAGTCCTTACGAAACTCACTCAAGGTCAGGATAGAGTCGCATATGATTATGCAATATTAATTTTCTCAATTAATAGATTTATAAAGAAATATTAAATTTTTTTTGTAGTCTAAGTCTAGTACAAACTTATTGTATCCAATAAATGTATCATTTCTAGAAGTCAGGGTTTGTTGCACGTATTAGCTCTAGAATTACTATAGTTATGCGAGTAGCAAATACCATAAAAAACAAACTAAAACTAATTTAATGAGACATTCGCAGTTTCACAGTTTGAGTTAGTTCATACTTAGGCAAGATCAACTAAGTAGCATTCCAACACGACGTTACTACCCACTTGCCCCCACAATTTGTCGTCTCCTCCTATCAAGAGAGTGTGAAAGAGGCAACGTGGGAGCAATCGTCCTTCATTCATCTTTCATTTAGTAATATATATAGACAACATGTTTGAGAGGTTTCTAAAGAACATCATGTCACCAAATGCACGACATCTGAGAGTACGAGGAGCGGGGACGCGTTTCAATATAAATGCACATCGTGCCACCAAATGCACGGATACATAAGCATTTTGTTCAATGAACCTAATGAACAAATGGGGCAAATTTGAAAGTGGAAAGTAAAAACGTTGAAAGAATTATAAAATCCCAAGGGACAACAAAGAAAATGAAGATATGGGGAAAGTGGGATGACGTCATATTGAGAGGATGAAAGTGGGAATGGATAAAAAGCATAAACGGAGAGGAGAGAGTGTATTGCGTGTCTTCTTGCTGTTCCCATTCCCACCCGACACCCACTGTTGTCCCCAGTTTCAACTACCAAACCAACCACTTCCTTCTCATCATGATGTTTGGTCTTTAAATTTTTAACAATGTATTTATTAGATATGGACATATTTAAAATTTTATAAATTAATTCATCTATAAAATGTAAATTTAATGGTATATTTAATTTAAATTTTAAAAAATATCAAATAGGTCAAAAATTTATTAATCTCGTAAACACAAAATTAAAAATTTATGGACATATTGTTAGGTCATCGAGCCTATTACTTATTTATAGCTTATACATAAAAATCTGTGTCGGATAAAACTATATTATTAAAGTTATTATAGTAAACTGAACTGATTCCCGCTAAGCATCCATGGCTGAATGGTTAAAGCGCCCAAACCCTTCGGATAGCATTTGAGAATACAAATTTTTTTTGTACTATATATATATAAAAGGTACGGATGACCATAGAAGTTACAACCTTTCATTAATCATACGTTATTATAAGGTTTATTTTCACTGCTTTAGTATCCAATTTTAGAATGGAAAAGAATAGAATTTTTAATTTAGTTTTGTTGAGAGCTAAGTTTTTACTTCCAGATTATTCTGTTTAGAATTTGTTATGTCATGCAAATGGTATTTATCAAACTTTTGTGGAGTGATTTTTGAATCATGGGTTTAAAAATGAGTTTTCTTTACTCTTGATTTTGATCATCAAGGTAATTAGTTTCAAAACTTTTCCTTGGTTTGATTCCATAAGATCGAATTAGCCTAGAGGAGTTAACTTTGAGCGTCTTGGAAACGAGAGATGAGATTAAAACTACTTTAATGCCCCTAAGAACCTAGCAAACCTCCACGACACCCAAGTATGACCAAGGTAGCTTTACCGGCTATAAGCAATGTGAACCGTGTCTTTAGACCCTCCACTAACTTTTCCACTCTAGTAACAGTAATGTTGAGCTAGGCACAAACCGACTAAGGTAGTGTGAGTTTCAACTTCGTGGAATAGTCAGTAGTCTCTTGAACAGGGTCACTGTGCTATAAACTCACTCTTAAGAGGGAAGGTGGACCATGTCGGATAGCCTAATAGCTGGTCGGGGATCACATCCTCCAAGCTTATGTGTCTCTATGGTACTAAGGATGCACCAACAACCTTCCTTAGATCATATTTAAACTAGAAATCACTATATTGTCCTATCATAATTTTATATGGTCGCGCCACAACCTAGGTCACCGATCATTCACTACATATATCAAGTTCTCAAGGTCAAAAAATAG